AGTTACGATCGCTCTGTAAAACATTTTTCGTCCTCAGACAGCAAGACTTCCTTATATTATGCAATCATCGGCGAATAGTCTAACTTTGATTTTTAATCCAGTTGCAATGTCATTAAATAAATGCTAAGAATAGTAAAGGCCTAACACCCCTGGGGGACACCCCGAGGTTTACGTCGGCTTTCGTATGAATATTTGTCTCCTATTCTGACTGTTTGAGTGCGCCCCGTAAGAAATTACTTTTATCCACAGGCATTATTTGATATCATTTCCCGTTCCGACAATTTGGAAATTAAAAGGCCATGTGAAACAGTTATCAAATGCCTTAGAAAAATCTCTAATATTATTTGGCGCGGAACCCTACTCCCCTTCGTCTAATGCAATCTGCTATGTCCGTGACAAAAAGCAATTATGTGGCTGTCGCACGAATACCCAGGACGAAAACCGTGTTGATTTTGAAATAGCCCATCCAGTTTTTATTCCAACTCGTATCTAATATACTCCACGATTATGTGTTCCATCTGTTTGGCTACGGACTGATAGTCAAACTAAGGCCTGTAATTGTTAACAATCCTTTCTGTCTCCTCCCTTGTGAAGTGGCACTACGACTGCCTCTTTCCAATTTTGAGGAATCATTGCTATTATTTACAATAACCTCCATTAAGCGTGCCAAAGGTACGAATCAGCTTCCGCCTCCAGTTTTAGTATTCTTCCTGCGTATTTCCACAGACCTACTGATTATTCTCCTAATTTTGCAATGTCGTTTCTAATAATTCCTCCCATCGATTCGAAAGGTTTCTATTACGGTGTTGTTTCACTTACTAAAGGTTGATTGCCTTCGCGCTTGCCAAAAAAAAGCATGAATAATGGTCTGTTTAAACAAAGCGCCTTCACGTATCATCTGTAATTAAACAAACCATCTGCTCCGCAGATCGCTGAATACTTTCTTTGTTCCCTTTCCTTAGCTCACAACTGAAGAAATTTTTGCCAAAGAGTCAATCATTGCTAGAATTGATAGGAATTTTCTTGGCGTATGTAACTTTAATGCTAAATAGTGTCTTTGGTAATTGTAAGAAAATTATTTTTCTGATCCTTATTTAATTACGTTTACTATACGCTTCCTAACCTGCCTTTTATTCTAATTCTAATTGTTATCATGTTTACCACCGAGCATTAGCTCAAAGCGAACTTTAATAAATCTAAATGTGGTGTTTTTACACATTGCACCAAAGGGGGTGTTTGGCGGTCATTGAATGCACACAAGAGCGAAGTTTGATTGCTGCAGGATTTAAGTGTGCTGTGTGTAAGTGACTTATGAGGTTGGCCAAGCGAAAGTTGTGTGATGGTTTCGAGTGGAAGTGTAGCAAGAAAAGGGCCACTCCTCATGTGTGTAAGTGTTCTGTGCGGAAAAGGCCATGGTTTGCGGGGAGAAAGTTGAGTATAATTCAAGTATTAGAAATAACTTATCATTGGTTTATAAAGTCAGTCAAACTGCCATAAAAAGTGCATATCAATAAGTTTCATTCCTTTCAGTCAGAGCGCTTAGCGTAATTTGCCGGAGGGCTAGAAGAGACCCAGCTCCTTGAACCCAAGCTTCTCTAAGGGTGTACAGTGTACTCTACTTTAATCAAGAAATTACAACCATTGGGAACTCTTTAAATAAACTTTCTTCAATTTTAAAGCCACATTATAAAAATTAAATTAAAAAAAATTTCATTGTAATTGAAAATGGAAGCAAATTCCTGACAAAAGCCTTCCCAATTTCGACAATATTTTAATGCAGAGGAATTTGATTTTGTATCTGATGAATTATTTACCTCAAGTGAATGTAACCTTCAGCACTCTCTTCGATTTCTGCCTCAGAATCTGCTTCTTTGAGAACTTTTAAAGTTTCAAATGGATTTACATCTTGGCATAAGGCAACAAGAGCTGTAATGAATGGAGGTGAAGTGGCAGATCCAAGGGCTCGCTTTTTCTGTAATACTTCTTCTCGTTTATTTCTTCTTATCTGAGTTGCTTGATGTCTACGTTCGTCCTTTCTCAGGTCCCTCCGAACTTTTTTAGAGAGAGCTTTTGCTGCCATTCTTCCTAAACAATCATAAAAAATATCTTTACTCATGAACTCATTTTAAAGGCAAAAGCAGAATGAACAAGTTACAAAAAAATTAAATACATACAACAAAGAAGACAATGAAAAAGAAAAAATTGAATATTACAGGATGTAAACACATTCAAAAGTGAAAAGATCCACATCAAAGGACATAAAAAAACAACACTGCATCACAAAAATTAGTCCTGGCTCATTCAAAAATAAGTTGATAGGGCTATTTTCCTCTATGTCATCATTAAATATATAATTCAATGAGTTAAAAAATCAGTGTGTAAAAATATCTTGCATTTGAATGGGACTATTTCACTAGTTATAAGGTGCATGGTGAATTCTGTTTACCACTCTTATTTTGCGTTTTTTGTTAATTATAGAACAAAATGTTAAAACAGGTTTTGATTTATATTTTATAACCATAGAGAGTAGCTATTTTCCCAATTAGCCTCATATTATAATAATTATTATAAATATAATATTAATAATAATAATATTTTATTGAGTCACATATTCAATTACAATCCTGTATAGGGAGTAAATATGATGTCTTGGGTACAGAGAGTGAAATTACATTACTGTCCAAACGCAAAACAAGAGACCATCTCCACATTTGCCCCAAGAACAGGAAAACTGGCCAAAAAGCTGATCAAGATGGGGTCATTTTCAAATAACATTATCAAAATTCTGTTTATTATACCGAGAGAGCTTATTACACTTCACCAGTGTCACTTGATTTACCATTTGGTTACAATGCACTTGTTTTGAAGCCAATTGCCACCCTCCGATCCCCACGAGTTTATCAGATCGAAAAGGTTTTAAAAACAGCTAAAATAGACACTTACAATGTAAATGTATACAAGAACAAAATGTAGTTACACCCAAAGATTTTACTTGTGTGGCCAAGTGCATGATGAATTCTGTTCACTTTACTATACTCTTAGAAAATAAAAATTAAAAACTGAACTACTTCACCACCGGACTTTTAAAAAACACCATAGTGTTTGGTGGTGAAGATGATAGAAATATACGAATTGTAATGCATGGTACAGGGTGAATTTTCCAGGAATGTCAGTACAAAAATCTGATCTCTTGTTCAGAATTTATCAACAAGCCCCCTCTAGAGTTAATCATTTTACAAAACGACATGGATGTGTTTTTTATGAGTCTTAAACTATCAAAAACCATTTTTTGAAAGCAATTTCTCCACATGATTTTAATACCGTTAAGAATTAAGGCTGAAGTCTAGTGTACGGTAAAACGTTTTTAGGTACAATTTGGGGGAAGGCTTTATGGAGACACCACCTCCTTTACTCCCTCGCCTTCCTGGGGGTGTACTGTGTACCCTACTTTAACCAGAACTAATATTACCAACGTCTCAACCCAGTTCGCATACACTAAAAAAATAACCAATACAGCATTTTGACTGTTTACAAACCTTTTCGGTCCTTCTCAATTGCACCTTTACTTCTATGACGTCCATGTTTATGAGGTTTATTTTGTTGCTTTAACAAGCCAGGACGATGCCTTTGCTGAACAGAGTCCGTTCCCATGCCTATTTTCTATAATAACAGTGCAAACTGTCCTAGCATTTAATACGAGAATAACGCACGTGCTCACAACCACTCGTAACCAACTTTTCCGCACTATATTTCCGTTAAAATACTATGCCCAGTGACACTTCGTCAGCTTGGTCAGCTGTTGTGATTGGATGACATCGTCATAGCCACTCTAACAGTGTAAGTGTCAAAGGCCTTAATACTTTAATCGAAGTATAGTACCAATACCAACCACACGATCGTTCACCCACGGTGTAACTTACACTATGGATTCAGCAGGGGTTCTCTTACATTGTGATTCGTGGAGAACAATTAGGGTACATTTTGCTTTAAAAATATCAGTTAAAACTCAAATCAACATTATTTGAAGAAATGAAGTAGAATAAAAGAATATTATCCCTTAACGTCCTCTCTGAACAATTTTTCTCCGCACGCCTACATTCACTTGTTCTTCGCAGAGCACATTGTGCATAAAGGAGAGATACAATGTATCTCTCCTCTATCTATCCTCTATCTAGAGGAGAGATGTATCTCTCCTCTATGACATTGTGTGAATCTTTCACCGTGTCACGGGGTTATTAAAAAAAAATAACACCGTGGTATGGGAGTTGTTCAGAGTTATGCACGTTAAATAAAGGCTTATGCCTCGACGCCAACTTGGACTTGCAGAGCAAAGCGTTAACTTGACCCTCACTGAACGTTAGTGCTCGTAGTTCTAATTTGGACTGCTTTGAGAAACACTAGGTTGGTTTCTTTAAGTATTATGTTGGTATTTCTGAAGGGCCGTATCGATACTGTCATGGCGTAATGTACTTTGTCACAAACGCCGAAAAAGGCGGGCGAGTTTTGAGCGTGCCGTTCACAAGATTTGGTAGTGTTCCGAATTAGACAGAAGTTCGTGTAGCTCAAGTTTCTGTACGCGGAAAATATTCGTTGTAGTTGTAAGTCATCATGTAGTTTAACCTAATTACTTTATGACCTCATATGCTCTTGTTTTCTTATGTTTCGACAGAATTTTTCTGTGTAGGGAGCTGTAAGATGAAGTAATAGTGATATTTGCCGTAAGCAATTTCTGATACGCGCGGTCATTAAAGAATCTTATATTAAGACCTTAATTTATAATTTATTGCACAATGTATTTGTTGTAATTGTTTTGTTTTTTTCCACACGTTTTATTTTAACAACATGAATCTATTACAGGTATAAGATAAACCGTTCAAAATGGGTCGCAAATCTGTCAAAGGAAAATTGAAACGTGCTGAAAGGCAGATGGAGCGTGAAATAATTGCTGCAGCTCAGAAAGTTGTCAATGCAGCCAATGAACAAGAGGACCCCTTGGCCAAATTAGTAGCATTCAAACAGTATAAAAAGAATGATTTAGCTGTAACATTGGAGTGTCGGCGTGTGGAAGATCTCAATGTTGAAACCCGCAACTGGGCTTTTGAACTTCTGAAGAGGAACATGAAGGATTATTATGATACATGCTCTTGGGGTTGGAATGATAGAGTAAAGAAGGAAGAAATGACAGATTCTCGTGCATGGTACATTAATTTAAGTTTCTTTTTAGCCTGTTCTCTTTAAAGATTTATCCATTATATTTTATTAGCATTTAAAAATCAACTGCTGAAAATAAATATTCATTCATATATTCTTCTAATTTTGGTAGAACAAGTGTGATAAAATACACAAAATTTTCAATGTCATGTATTGATATAAAATAAGTACCTACAGTATCTTATGTATATAACTAAAGAAAAATTGATTTTAATACCAAGGGTATCCAATGTGCATTTACTGAATGATTCATGTTTAAACCTTAGTGGTGGATTTTTAATATTTGTGTGCTTGCTTTTTGTAATTTTATCAGTAATATTTGTAGCTTCCTTATCACACCTAGATTCAAATCTGGATATAGATAAATCAGTACCTTAAGCATAGATTTTGATGTACCAGTTAATAATTTTTTAGACAATTACATATGAATTATAGTTTTTCAACAAATTTCTTTATTTTGCAGGTACCTAATTGCCCGATCCATTACTGGAGATCCAGTTGCTTTTTCACATTTTCGCTTTGATATTGACTTCATGGTAGAAGTTCTTTATTGTTACGAAATTCAGTTAGAACCTAAAGTACAAAGGCATGGTTTAGGAAAATTAATGATGCAAGTTCTTGAATTGATAGCCTTTTCTGCTAACATGAAGAAAGTTGTGTTGACTGCATTAAAACACAATCCTGAGGCACTTGCATTTTTTAGAGCCCTAAAGTATAACATAGATGAAACTTCACCAGAAGGAGATTTTGAAGAATATCCTTATGAGATTTTGAGTAAACCTAACAAAATACTGCTTAAGAACATTTCAACGTAATACTTACTGTAAAGGGATACTTTTTATGCAATGTTTTCCGAAGAAAAGAAGATGCAGATGTCCGTTCTTGCACCAATGAAGACAAGAGGATGGTCCAGCTAACAATTTAGAAGACTGTGACTAAGACTGGAAATATTCCATTGCACTTGGAAGGATTGGACTTCTAAGCAATTTTTTTAATTTTTACCAGGACAATTGCTCGAAAGTAACCTAAAATTTCTTCTAGTTTTTATTGTTTGATACGGGCATCATCTGATGAGTTTATGAAAGAAACTTTCCTGTCATGCATGGGTTTTTCAATCCTCTTCATGCATTGGTATTAAGTTTTTGTATTAGTGATGTATTATAACTGGTAGTGTTTGTTTAACTGTTCTGCTTTCAAAGGATTTATGAACTCCAGGAGTGAAATGTTCACATGTATTATATTTTGTCTGCTTTGTATTATTTAAATTAGTTTAAAATGTATAGTTACTAACAATTCTGGAAATAAATGATAAGAGAGAGAATGAGAAAACAAGTGAAGCATTGTGAGATAAATTACTCACAAAAACACATTGATCCATGTTTTATGCATGTTATTTTAAAAAAATAGTACTTTTGAGACCATGCATAAATTACGTAATGCAAATTTAAAGTATTTTCAATAACCCCCCTATAATACAACTAACAGGAAATTGAACCCCCCCTAAATAATTAACAACTTGCAACAACACTTCCTTACTTATAAGAAGTGAAAATAAATTATAGTACAGTAAAAACTGCTTGTATTTATTTTACTTCTGTTTTATATTCAAATTAATAATTATAGTAGAAATTCGTTGGCAATGCTGATCGCACCTAAGAAGATTGGGGCAAGTCCAGTGAGTGAGTGAATGAAAGATTTCTAGGCAAGAAAAGGTTTGATCTTAAGCCGTGCACATGCTGCTATGGTTGGCATCAGTGAGTCTACTGTGTCAATTTGAATGGGGTCTAGAATATACATCTTTTTCTTCGTAATCTCGCAGGTTCAATACAAAATTGTAAAATATTTCCATTGAATCAATTTACAACTAATAACTTTGTTTTTAAAACAAATTTATTACTTAATATTTTAGTACAAGGCTCAGAAAAGGAATTATTTCAGTAAATGTTGAAAAATGGGAAAACGTATCTTTGTTAAGTGAATAATACCCCCTACCCCTTGGTAGCGCAATGTAATGCTGCCTCAAACCCCCCTCCTCTCCGTTTTGTTTCAGTGATATGTAATTTATGAATGGCCCTTTGACAATATTTAATTTTTGAAGAATTTCATTCATTTTTGTAGTGATTTAGAGTTCACTTTAATGTGAAGATTGATTTAACATATTACTCCTTTTCTTTAATGGTGTGACACATCCATATGACTTGATTGTCTTCCTGCCTTACGCTTCAATTTCCTTGCAAAACCCTGTAATGCTAATAGTACTAAGTTCTGGAAGCACACTTGTTTCCCTTCAACAATAAAGCACTGACATAACATACTGGTATTAACTGTTCAATATGCCTTCAAAATTATTTTGGAGTCTAATGATTTGTGATTTGGGTGTTCCAAAGCTGTTCAAAATTCTAGAATGTGTTCAGACTTGGCTCACTCATTAGTTAGATTTCTTAGTGTTCTACGGTAGCTTAAACCATCTTAATAATAATAATATTTATTATGTCACATATACAATTACAATCGTGTATGACGAGTCAATATGATGTCTTGGGTGGAGAGAGGGAAGTTACATTACTGTTACTACTGAGCAAACAAGGGGCCATCTCAGCATTTGCTCAAGGGACCAGGGAAACAGAACAAAACCTGATCGAGATGTGGTCATTGGCCTAGAAATTATACTACAATATTTGTTACATTAGGATATTATACAGTAGATAATTATTTGTAGTAGCAGATAATTTAACATTTCAAGATGTTATTTTAATTCTATTACTTATAATAATAATAGAACAATACATATCGATTCTATTAGCAACTACATAAAATTTAACAATAGTAGTACATTCTATATTTAAAACTTGAAATGGTGAGGAAGCAAGTTTTTACCAGTTTTTTTCTTCTTTCAATTGGTACATGTAGTACAGAGAGAAACAGAATTGTTTTTTGTTTGTTTGTTTTGTCAGGCATTCTTCTATTTCACAGGATGCGATATGCCTGTTCTTTTTTCTTTGCTTCAGCTCGAAACAGAAAGTCTAATGGGATAAGAAATTCTTATTTATTTATATTTTTTAAGGGAAATGTTGGAATTTGAAAATTCCTTTACTCTGTAGAACATGTTAAGCAGGAAAGCTTTCAATTTACTTTTAAATGTATGAATTGTGTTTATGGTCTTTTAATATATTGCGCTAGGGTTTGTTGTAAAGTGTAGTTTCCAGAGTGGGGAACAAACAACTTCAGAATGGGGTCCATGTTACCTCCTTTTGATGGTGTTGGTAGTCTGCTGTACATCAGAATAAAGTAAACAGTGTCTTGTTTTCCCCAATGAGAATTTCTTTGTGAAGACCATATTTCAAACTATATACATGCTTGGCTAGAGTAAGAATTCGTTATTTATTAAACAAGGTTTGCAAGATCCGCTTATGAGTGCGTGGTCATTGTTAGCAATATTATTTTTTGATAATAAAAGTGTGCGAGTCCTTTTCAGGGGCATTTCCCCAGGAATATCTATTGCATAATTTTCAGGTGTGAGTGGAGCATTGCGAAATTCATTGTCGAAGTGTCTCAATGTTGGAGCTTTGCCTGCAGGGTTGTATAGGCATAGCCAAGATTTGGCTGAGGACTTTTGTTAAGATTTGAGATGTGAGTGTCCACTTTGAGGTTTCTGGTGAATTCTGTTAGTCCCAAGGAAGGTAGTTCATGATATGGATTCATTCCAGGTTATTTGTTGGTATGAGGCATAATGCTGTGAGAGTTTTTCTTGAGATATCAGGGATTCATGAAAATTTAAGACTGTGCTTGCTGCGTGTTTATTTGAGTGGGTTGTTGTCTTGAAAAGCATATGTTTACTAGTGCCTTGCAAAGTTTGTGAAGGTTTTTTTTTCTTAATGATTGTTGTGTTTTTGCTTTGGTGATGATGTTTTGTGTCATCTGCCAACAAAAATTATTTTGTTGTTGCTAAAGCCAAAGGCATGTCATTTATGTATTTAAGAAAGAATATTGGGCCCAAGGATGGATCCTTGCGGGACTCCACAATTTATTATTTGAGGGCAGGAGTAGTATGAAGAGATTTTGTTTACTTTAGTGTGATGGAGGGCAACTATTTGGCTACGGTTTGATAAATATGATTTGATCCATTGGCCTGCAATGCCTCGAACCCCTAGCATTTCTAGTTTTCTTAAAAGTATATAATGGTCAATGATATCAAAGGCTTTTGACAAATCTAAGAAAAGGCCAATGGGAATTTCCTTCTGATTTAGTGCAACAAGTATGTCATTTAAAAAGGAGAAGATGGCTGTATTTGTGGATCTATTACTCCTGAAGCCATGTTGTGCATTTGTAAGGACATTATTTGCATTGAGAAACTGAGTCTATCATTGAAAAGCCTTTCCAGAATTTTTGCGGGATTGGATCATAACTATTGCCCTTTTTAAACAATGGTTTAATTTTTGCTGTTTTGAATATATCTGGGAATATGCCTGATTTTAGAGAGTAATTGCAGATGTGAAAGAGTGGTTGCACTATACATGGACCACTGTGTTTAATAAGATAATCTTGAATGTTGTCCATGCCTGCTGAGAATTTATTCTCCATTTGTCCAATGATTTTAAAAATTTCAGAGGGTTGGTTTCATATAAAAATATGGATAATCTTAAAAGTGTTAAATGCTGAGTTTCAAATAATGAAACTAAGTCTGAAGAGCCCTCATGTTAATACCAAAAAGCCATTTTAGTTACTAAAATATGTCTGGCAAATCGGTTTTAAACAAAATTTGTTTCATTTTTAGCTCTGCATTTTCACGATAGTAGGACATGGAAGAGTCAACCAATTGAAGAGTGGACTGTAGAAAACTACTTTAAATGATTGTTATAAAACAAGTTGTTTAGAGTTGAGATTCATTTATCATTAATAAAACTAGTGGTGCATGAAATGTCTTGCCTTTAGTAATGGTTATATAATATTTACACCACACTTTCTCCAAATTAACACATCTTATGACACACACAACTGATAGCATAGGCAAACAAATGGAAATAGATTGTAAAATATATAATAATAATAATTATTATTAAGGTATTACTTAGGTATTTAACATGAATTATATGTTACTCCTTGTCTGAACATGCAATGCTAAATCCTCTTATGTTTTCACTACTAAAAAAAATTCCTCAAATTGTCTTTACTAATGTTACTGCATTCAGAATTCAACATATAAATGGGTTAGGGTAGAAATATCAGAATTTTTCGAAATCTCTCCCAGGGACATCGGATTCCCGAGACGATTCAGAAATGCATTTCCTAGGGCCATGATTAGAGAAGAGTCCCCTTCTAAATCCATGCAAAAAATACTTTTTTTTGCGCGAAAAGAGTTTTTACGTGATTGTTTTCAGTGTGCGAAACATCTTTTTAAAGGTTTCTCAACTGTCTTTCGACTTGACGAAGGTTTGATTCACAGAACAATAAAGGATAGAAGTGCACCCTCAGTTAAACGTCGGAAACAAAAGTCGCTCGCAGCACTCCAAGTGGCATTGTAAAGAACTACATAAACCGCCCGCCCAGCGCAGCGTATGAAAGTTAATTTCCCCAATCGTCTTCGAGAAAGTTAGTGGATATTAATAGGCTACATTCTACGACAATTTTTCTAAATTATATTAATTGTCTATTTTCGTAATGCACTTGGGTAAGGTCATAATTGAGGAGAGTCATCTAATTATATGGTAATGGCAGAAATGAAGGAATCAAAATGAATAAACCAAGAAATATATAACTAAATAAATAATTACCTTTATTGTACAATTTATATTAAACAATATTCAATACTGACATCAACATTTAATTTTTTCACCTTTTCATGGCCTTTTGAATATTTCATTTTAGTTTGTATTTTCTGTTTCTCATTTATTACATATTTGTATATTAAAAAAACGTAAACACTTTTTAAAAATACGTTCTTCGGATAAATACACTTAACAAAAAATGTATCATCAGGTGATTTGGAATTAGAGCAAAACCTTCTCTCCAAATTATTTAAATGGCCATTTGTTTTCTAGAAATGTATACAAATATTCATGAACATTCTTTAAAAACATATTAAATAACAAATCATAATAAATCATTATATTACATAATAAAAAATACAGGTTTTCCTTCTAGTGATATGTGAATATAGTAGGCCACAAATTTCATACAAATAATCGTGAATGACACTTTACATTAAATGCTAACATCTATATTGCGAAACATACTTGTATTCCACTAAGACCAACTAATCGAAATGGAGAAAACCAGAAAAGCGCTCCAAGTGGCCTGGCAGTGTGTTGCCAATTTCCGTAACTAACCTTTACCCCTGTGGTGTGATTTTTATTTACAGACAATAGTGTTACGACACTGACTAGAATCCAGTTACTTTTGTATAAGTAAGGTAATTCTGAAAATTTGATGTTTAATTTATATTCCTTTAGTTGTCGCATTGCCTTTCGCTCACGCGGTGTTAAAAGTTGTATACGCAACACGAGCGCGAGATAAGCTCGACTCATGCGTGAATTATCTGTTGCGTAAACTACTATTTTTCACGGCAAGATAGTGGTTTGACAACAATATTTTTTTAATGTATATTAAAAAATGACGAACTTCGCGTACGGCCAGCGATGCACAGCAGTTGCGTTTTTATGCAGTTAAAAAAATTATAATTTATTTGAAATGTTTTGGATTATTTTTTGTACTTCACCCTTCCCTCTTCCCCAACCGCTTGTCCACTATATTTTGGAAGAAGACCTGGCAACCCTAAACGCCCTCGACTCCCTGGACTCCTCCTTTGCAGACTTGGGGAGTTTCGAAGTCGTAGATTTGTAAGGACGACGCTTTTCCGCTTCCCCCAGAGGAGCTAGGAAAGGGCGGGGGTTTGCCTGGGGCTGTAGAGGACTGATCTTTGGATCCTATTGTCAGGTGTAGGTAGGTGGTGATTTTGGAGTGGTTTGGAGGTAATTTTGGAGTGTTGTA